GACAAGGGGAATCCGACTGTTTAATTAAAACAAAGCATTGCGATGGCCCGCGAGGGTGCTGACGCAATGTGATTTCTGCCCAGTGCTCTGAATGTCAAAGTGAAGAAATTCAACCAAGCGCGGGTAAACGGCGGGAGTAACTATGACTCTCTTAAGGTAGCCAAATGCCTCGTCATCCAATTAGTGACGCGCATGAATGGATTCGTGAGATTCCCACTGTCCCTATCTACTGTCTAGCGAAACCACAGCCAAGGGAACGGGCTTGGAAGAATCAGCGGGGAAAGAAGACCCTGTTGAGCTTGACTCTAGTCTGTTACTGTGGAACGACTTGATGGGTGTAGAATATGCGGGAGGGGCAACCCGACAGTGAAATACCGCAACCGTCAACGTTGTTTTACTTACTCGGTGGCGCGGAGGGAGGCTCGCCTCACTTCTGGATCCAAGCCGCTTCGTGCGCGCGATCCGCGTCGGGGACACTAACAGGTGGGGAGTTTGGCTGGGGCGGCACGTCTGTTAAAAAATAACGCAGGCGCCCGATTTTGAGCTCAATGAGAACAGAAATCTCATGTGGACCGAAAGGGGAAAAGCTCGGTTGATTTTGATTTTCAGTACGAATACAAACCGCGAAAGCGTGGCCTATCGATCCTCTCGTCTTTGGGAATTTCAAGCTAGAGGTGTCAGAAAAGTTACCACAGGGATAACTGGCTTGTGGCTGCCAAGCGTTCATAGCGACGTAGCTTTTTGATCCTTCGATGTCGGCTCTTCCTATCACTGCCTCGCAGCGGGGGCCAAATGCAGGATTGTTCACCCACCAACAGGGAACGTGAGCTGGGTTTAGACCGTCGTGAGACAGGTTAGTTTTACCCTACTGCTGTCTGTTTTTCTACGGTAATTTGGTTCAGTACGAGAGGAACCACCAATTCGCATCATCGGTATAGCCGCCGCCGGAAACGGCGATGCGGCGAAGCTGCCATGCGCCGGATTATAACTGAACGCCTCTAAGTTAGAATCCATGCCGGAAGGAAAGCCACCTACCGGCCCGGGGACGCCACGAGCAACGGTAGCACTGCCTGAGCCGCGAGCGACCACAATTCACGGACCCGGGCCGACGAATCCCTTGCAGACGACTTGAATAAGGAACGGGGTATTGTACGCGGCAGAGTGGCCTTGTTGCCACGATCCGCTGAGATTCAGCCTTGGTTCTGACGATTTGTTGCGCGCGCGCAACAACCCTCGCTCGGAGCCGCGCCAGGGCCTCTCCCGTTCCTCAGTCGCTCTCTCGGCGCTCTCCCCCTCTCGCCTCTCCTCCGAGCCTCAAACGCTCGGGGGCGGAGCCAAGGGGGCGAGAGCGCGATTTCTGCCCAAGGCAGCGCGCAGGCCACTGCGCAGACACACCCGGCTTTCCCCGAGCCGCCACTGGGCGCTCCCGCGGTCCCCTCCGGGCTGAATGCAGCCTCCGGAGCGGGCGGCGCGAGCGTCTAAGTCTACTCAGAGCCTTCCACGCTCTTCTTTGCGTTCCGAAGCACACACTGCGCTCCTCTGTAGTGCATCGCCCGGCCAACTCGCTTGCCGCTGTCATTGCCCCCGCCGCCCTCTCGCACCACAGCCGCCACCGCCATCTCTCCTGTCACCACCGTTACCGTTACCTCCACTGCCCTCGCCACCGCCCTCGCCCCCCACGCCGCCGCTACCATTCCGACCATCACCACCGCTGTCGCCACCGTCCCCACCGCCTCCCCCGGGCCTGCCGCCGCTCTCGCCCTCCGCTCCCCACCCCCGCAGCTCCTCCCCGCCCCCTCCGGACCTCCCACGCCGCCGCCGCCATCCCAGCCGCTGCCGGCCCACCCGCCCTTGCGCTTTTGCCACCACCTCCCTCGTCTCCTCCGCCCCCACCACCACCGCTGCCACCGCCGCCCTCGCCGCCGCCACCATCCCAGCCACCCTCGCCGCCCCCACCCCCACCGCCGCCCTTACTCGCAGCCGCCCTCCCCACCGCCGCCCTCGTTGCCGCCCTCGCCACTGCCGCCGCCCTCTCACCCGCCATCCCTACCGCCGCGCCCTCGCCGCTGCCCTCCCCGCCCCCTCCCAACACCCGCCAGCCTCCGCCGCGCCGGCCGGCATGCCACCGCTCTTGCTCTCGCCCCCCGCCGCCCCGCCGCCCCGCCGCCGCCCCGCCGCCATTGCCGCATCAGTCACCGCCGCCGCCACCCTCGAGCCTCGTCACCACCGTCTCCACCGCCGCCCTCGCCGCCACACCGCCCTTAGCTCACCCCCACCCCCATCCTTGCTGCCGTCGCCGCCACCTACCAGGCCCCCGCCACCCTCGCTGCCGCCTTGCCGCCCCCACCCTCATCCTTACCATTGCCCCCGCCACCCTCGCAGCCCTCGCCGCCGCCGCCGCCCTCTCACCCGCCACCCCTACCTGCTACCACCGCCCTCGCCGCCGCCCGCCCACTCAAAGCACGATTCTCAAGTTGGGCCCCCCGGGGCGATACCGAGTGGGAGTGTCGAGTGTCGTATGCATGTCTGGTGTCTAGTAGCTCCGAGTAGAGGGGGCGTTCTGCTGCTTGGGGAAACCCAAAGAAGAAGGAGCAGCTCCCTCGATGTACGAAGACCCGTTTTTACTCTCTCTTCTGTTTGTTCCCTGCGACCGCGCACCCTCCCCCAGGGCTAGGGCTCTCTAGCCCGTATATGCCCGTATATAGCCCGTATATAGCCCGACCTCACACGGTGTCGAGCGCCGTAGAGACGGCCCCGAGAGCCGCCACCAGGTGTGCCACGACCGCGGCCGCGAGGCTCGTGGCGATGGATGCGCCAGACCCGCTTTGCGCCGCCGCCCTCAACGCCCGATACTTGATCAGAGCCGGCGGAGCGACGGCGGCGGAGTTGCGGCCGCCGGCGACCTTCCCCTCGACCACGCCGCCGACCCGTCGACAAGCACGTGCGGACTGCCATCGAGAAGAAGGACGGCTCGCTCGGCTCCGCTCAGTCAGAGGTGTGCATGACCTAGCTGAGCGCCACAAGCCCAGCTCGTCAGAGCTGGGCTTGTGCGTGTGTGCGTGCGTGCGTGTGTGCGTGCGTGCGTGCGTGCGTGTGTGCGTGCGTGCGTGTGTGTGTGTGTGTGTGTGCTGTGTGTGTGTGTGTGTGTGTGTGTGTGTGTGTGTGTGTGTGTGCCGCCCGGGCCACCGGCCTGGAGACTGAGGAGAGGCACACCGGACAGGCCGGTGGCCCGGGCGAGATGTTCAGCGGTGGGGCGGGCGGCTCGAGGCTCCTCGCCCGCACAATCGCGGTGACGGCGAGGTTGTTCTCGTCCCGATGAGCGGCGACGACGTCGCCGCCGTACGGTAAGCTAGGGTTCGCCATCCGGGAAGACCCTCCCTCGGCGTGGGAGAGAAAGGCGGGAGCGGGCCCCCGGGGGGGGGGGGCGAGGAGACTCCCGCCGAGCCTGCTGGACTCCCGCCGAGCCTCGGCGTATTTTCTTTTTTCTCAAGCCTGCCTTGCAAAGAGAAGTTGCCGCTGGATCGTGCCGTCATCTTCCGTCTTGCGTCCACCCGTCCCGCGCTGGCATTTCTTCGACTTCCTCTCTCCCCGTCGAACGAAATAAACAGGTCTAGGCTCAGATCTCACGCCTCTCGAGGGAACGGACACAAGCCCTTCATGTTACTGAAAAAGAATCTAGAAGTTTTGACCGCGCAAGACATAAGGGTGGCTAAGGGCTCTGCCCGCAAGGCGCCCGCGTCGCAGACGCGGTACCATTGGCAACTACATGACATACCCCCACACGAAAAAAATATAATTAAAATTCGTGCATATCGTGGGATTTTCGTTCGGCGACGCAAACTTCTCGTCCGGCGGTCAACACGGCGCCCGGGCAAGCCTTCAGCTGGTGGCAAGACATCCGTAAAATTGAAACCAAGAACGGCCGCCAATCGTGCTTTCGGAGCAACTGAGGGAAAGCCGCTGATCGAGCCCAGCGTGCCCGCGGCCGCCTCCCGCGCAGCACCGCCGCTGCGGAATCGGATCGAGCCCATGGAGGAGGAGGGCGCAGTCGGCCAGCGCAGCAGGCGGAGTCCCTCCCCGCGCCGGAGCCCCCCTGCAGTCGAGGGAGTCCTCGTTGGCGATGAAGGTGGCGACATCGAATCGCGGCCGACACACGTCACGTGGGAGGAATGGGCGATGAGCGGGAACGATTGCGCGCTACGACGCCGACTCCGCCGTGCTCGTGGCCGCCACGACGCCGACTCCGCCGTGCTCGTGGCCGCCAAGCAGAAAGCCGCGCTCCGGCAGGAGCACGCCAAGATGCAATGGCTCGCTTGCTTCGATTCAGCTCTCTCGGCAGCAGAAGTGGGGCTGGAGCGGGTGGGGGTGGATGCCGATTGAGGGGGAGCGTCTCCAGCTGCGCTAGTCGAGGGACTCGGTAGTTGTGACCCCCCTGAGTGAGGACAGGAGAGAGAGAGCGTTTTGTGGTGTTGGTTGGTGTACGCAATAACGGGACAGGGTGGTTGTTCTCTCTATCTCCTCTTCTAGCTCTTAGCATGAGCTGCGCCCGGTGTCCGACCCCTTTTGCGCAGCAACACCTTAAACTTTTAGGCCCTCCAAATTCGGGTCGGAGCGTAGCGGAGTGGGCCCCGAGTTTGAAAAGGGCGACGGACGCTTGCGTCCTACGAGTAGCCTCCAACAACGCCTCCCCGGCGCAGAGGGGCCCCCGGAGGGATGCACAACCGCTCCACGCCACGCCGCTTGCGGCGGTCCTCTTCCCAGCTCCGCTGAGGGCCCGTTCGTTATTTCACTCCAACAAAAAAAGAAAAGAGACTGCTTCGCGCCCGGAGAACCCTCTCCAAGCCCTCGGTAGCTCCGTTAGCTATCCCGGACGTGCAGCCACCCCTCTGCGCGCGCCGTGCACGCCCCGCCGCCCCCACGGGACTTTACCCTCCCTCTCCTCTCCACCCGCGCCTCCGCAATGCCCACGATCTTCCGCCCACCGCCGCCCAGGTCCTCCGATGTGCGGCATCGTCGGCGTTTTGTGCGCGGACGACAGCTCGGCTGTTGGCCCTCTCTATGAGGCCCTGCTAGCGCTGCAGCACCGCGGGCAGGACGCCGCGGGCATCATCACCGAGGACGCGGGCCGCTTCTGCCTCCACAAGGACAACGGCATGGTCCGCGACGTCTTTGGGCCGGCGCAGCTCACCAACCTGCGCGGCTCGATCGGCATCGGCCACGTGCGCTACCCGACGGCGGGTTCGTCGTCGTGCGCCGAGGCGCAGCCCTTCTACGTCAACTCGCCGTACGGCATCACGCTCGCCCACAACGGCAACCTCGTCGACCTGCCCACCCTCAAGCGCGACCTCGAGCGCGAGTTCCGGCACCTCAACACGGGCTCCGACTCGGAGGTGCTGCTCAACCTGCTGGCAATCGAGCTCTTCTCCAACCTGAGCAGCCCGTCGCACGAGGGCACGCGCTCCGTCTCGCCCTCCTCCGGCGCCGGCGCCGCGCCCGCGCCGGACTGCGTCGACGCCGCCGGCCGCAAGCTCGAGAGCCTGTCCGCCTTTGACGGAAAGGGGCCGACCGACGCGCAGGTCATCCTCGCGGTGAATGAGCTGCTGCGCCGCTGCTCGGGCGGGTACGCGTGCGTCTCGATGATCATCGGCTACGGCCTCCTCGCCTTCCGCGACCCGCACGGCATCCGCCCCCTCTCGTACGGCCGCCGCCTCGCCGAGGGCAGCACCGAGCACGAGTACATGGTCGCTTCGGAGAGCGGCGCCCTCAACGCGCTCGGCTTCGAGCTGCTCGGCGACGTGCGCGCCCCGCGCCGCCCTCCGCCGCGCCGTCGCGAGCCGCGCCGCCGACCTCCCCCCCCCCCTCCCCACAGGTTCCGCCGGGCCACCTGCTGCTGCTCCGGCGCGGCAAGGAGCCTCGCATGCACAACTGCTTCGCCTCGGCCGCGGCGCCGCTGGCGCACGCGCCGTGTGTCTTCGAGTACGTCTACTTCGCCCGCCCCGACTCGGTGATCGACGGCATCTCCGTCTACCGCACCCGCCTCCGGATGGGCGAGAAGCTCGCCCACCTCATCAACCGCACCTGGGCGCGCGAGCACCTCCAGACACTCGCCCTCCCCGCCCTCGCCCTCCGCACCTGGCCCCGCTGTCGGGGCGGCGCCCGACGGCGGTCCCCGTCGCGCTGCAGGCTGCGCACGACATCGACGTCGTCATCCCCGTCCCCGACACCGCGCGGACAGCCGCCCTCGAGTGCGCGCACGCGCTCGACATCCCGTACCGCGAGGGCTTCATGAAGAACCGGTACGTCGGCCGCACCTTCATCATGCCGGCGCAGGGCCTGCGCAAGAAGTCGGTCCGCCAGAAGCTCTCCCCCATCGCCTCCGAGTTCGCGGGACGCAACGTCCTCCTCGTCGACGACTCGATTGTCCGCGGCACAACCTCCTCGCAAATCATCAACATGGCGCGCGAGGCGGGCGCCAAGCGCGTGTACATGGCGTCGGCCGCGCCGCCGGTGCGGTACCCGAACGTGTACGGCATCGACATGCCCACCTCGGCCGAGCTACTCGCCTCGCGCTACAGCGACGAGCAGATGGACGAGATGGCTCGCGAGATCGGCGCCGACCGCATCTTTTACCAGGCGCCGCCGCCGGGCCGCCCCGTCCCGCCACCTGAGCCGCCCTCGCTGAAGCGCGCTCCTCCCGCTCGCAGGAGCTGGACGACCTCCGCGCCTCCATCCTGGAGGAGGCGGCCGCGCAGGGCAGCTCCATCCGCGGCCTCGACTGCTCCTGCTTCGACGGCAAGTACGTCACGGAGCACGTCGGCGCGGCGTACCTGCAGTCGCTCGCGCAGGAGCGCAAGGCCAACCGCGGAGACAGCGACACGAACGCCTGCCACCTTCTCTACAAGCTCGACCCCGCCCCCGCGGGCGCGGAGCGCGCGCGGTAGAGCGCCGGCGCCCCCCTCCCCTCCTGGTCCGCCGCACGGCTGCTGGGCGAGTGGGAGGACACCCCACGCCGCCGGCCGCTGGCTTCCTTGGTCGAGCCACTGTTTGCCGTAGCCACTGGCGCTTGTCCACAACGACCTCTCCCCCCCTCGCTCCTTTCCTCTCCCCTCTCGCTCCTTTCCTCTTCCTCTCTCCACTCCTTCCACACACCTCCTGGCGTCTTAGCGCGCACCCGCACTTCTCTCCCTGGCATGCTCCCTGGCACAGACGACAGAGATAAGACTCGAGAGAGTGCAGAGTCCGCATGCAGGTGTGCACAAACCCTGCACGGCTCGCATAGCTCTCTCTTGCTTGTTTGACTTGCTTTCTGCCATTTACTATTTGCAAATAAGAAATGACTCGTACGGAAGGGACACACGTACACAGGGGGCGCGTGGCCGTGGCGGGCGGCAGCGACGGGTCACGGGAACGATGGTGGCGCGCCTTCTTCCCGCGCAGAATCCCGAGGGTAACCGCGAACGATCTCCGCATCGCGGTAAGGCAAGAGAGGCGGCGCCGACAGCCAACGGGGAACGACCGATTGAGGTCGGCCCCAAAACTAGGGCCACGCGCGCAAGACGGACTCGGCGAGAAGACGGACATGCTCAGGGAGGGGGCTGTGGCTCAGCGGGGAGAGGCGGGATCACGAGGCGCCGTACTCGAAGTCCGAGTCGCCGTACACCTCTAAGCCGAGCTCGTCCTCGCCGGGGAGGCCGAGCTCGGTGCAGTGGCCGCAGGTCGCCTTGCAGTGCCTCACGCCAAACTCGTGGAAGACGACGCAGATCGCGGGCTGGCAGTCCTCCACCTCGTCCCGGCAGAGGGCCGCCGGCGACTCGGGCGGAGGCGGCGGCGGCTTGAATATGTGCGACGGCAGCCAGGGCGGAAGCGGCGGCGGCGAGGGCGGCGGCGGCGGCGGCGCACGCGTGGGCACGTCCCACACGCGCAGGGTGCGGTCGCCGCTGCCCGAGGCGAGGAGGGCGCCGTCCGCGCTGAAGGCGAGGGAGAGAACGTCGTCCGAGTGGCCGAGCAGCGTGTGGAAGTGCGAGCCCGTGTCGGTGTCCCAGAGGCGGACGGTGCGATCGTAGCCGCCCGACGCGATCGCCGAGCCGTCGGGGCTGAAGGCGACCGCCGTGACCATCCCGAGGTGCCCCTTCAGCACGCGCAGCTCCTTGCCGCTCTCGACGTCCCACGTGCGCACCGTGTCGTCCTCGCTCGCGGACGCGAGCACGCTGCCCGCCCCAAAGGCGAGCGCGGTCACGTCGAAGGTGTGGCCGCGCATCAAGCGCTCCCGCTTGCCGGTGCGCACGTCCCAGACCTTGACCGCCGCGTCGTCCGCCGAGGCGAGGTAGCGGCCGTCTGCGGAGAAGGCGACGGCCTTGACGCCTCCGGCGTGCTTGAGCGTCTTGAGCAGCTTGCCGCTCTCGACGTGCCACATCTGCAGCGAGGGGAGGGCCGCGCGCTCCAGCCGGGCCGAGGGGAGGGAGGCGGCCGGGGCGGGCTCCGGTGGGTGGCCCGCGGGCGAGGGGAGGGGCGGGGTGGGTGTGTTTGTGCGAGCGGAGGGGCGGTGTGCGCATGCGCCTTGACGGTGCGGTCGTAGCTGGCCGAGGCGAGGATGGTGCCGTTGCGGCCAAAGGCGACTGCGGTCACCGTCTTGGTGTGCGGCGAGCTGCCGAGCAGCCTCTGCTCGAGCGTGCCGGTGGGGACGTACCACAGCTTGACGGCGCTGTCGAAGCCGGCGGAAGCCATCCGCGCGCCGCCGGGGCTGAGGGCGATGTCGAGCACGACCATGGCGCCGGTGTGGAGGGTGCGCAGCGCCTCGCCCGACTCGAGGCTCCAGAAGCGGACCGTGCCGTCGAAGTTTCCCGCCGAGGCGAGCTCGTCGCCCTCGCCAAACACGACCGACACGACAGAGTCCGTGTGGCCGCGGAAGACGCGCACGCCCGCCGGGGAGAGGGGCGGAGGCGCGGGCGGCAGCGGCGGCGCGGGAAGCCCGGGCGGAACCGCGGGCGGCCCGGGCGGCTGCAGGGGCGGGGCCGTCGGCGGCGGCGTGACGGGCGGAGGCGCGCGAGGTGGCGGGGGCGACGGCGGCGGCGGCGGCGGCGGCAGCGGCGGCGGCGGCGGCAGCGGCGGCGGCGGCGGCAGCGGCGGCGGCGGCAGCGGAGGCGGCGGCAGTGGAGGCGGTGGCAGCGGAGGAGGTGGCAGCGGCGGCGGACGTTCCTGCGCGAGCCCAAAAGGGCCTGCGGACGACTGCGTACGAATGCCAGGTGCCCGCGTCGGCGGAGCCGCTGCAGCAAGGGGCGCTGAGCTGAGTGGCGATCGTGATGGCGGCGGCGGCGGAGGAGGAGGAGGGGGCAGCGGCGGCGGTGGCGGTGGCGGCGGCGGGAAAGGCGAAGGCGGCGGAGGGAGCGGCGGCGGCCGAGGGAGCGGCGGTGGCGAGGGCGTTCGACAGCAAAAAATGAAGCAGTCGGAGCCGTCATCGATCGCAAAGCCCGCAGTGCCGGGGTGGCCCGCGCGCGCGTCGAGCGCCTCCAGCTTTGTCGCGTGCCCGTCGTGGTTCTCGTCGAGGGCGACCGCCTCCGACTGCGTCACGACCCCATTCGCGTCGAGGTCGAGCGCCTCGTGGCGTGTCACGTGCGAGTCGTGGTCCATGTCTATGGCGTCCAGAGCGAGCGGGCAGGCCCGCTCCGCCTTCCAGCTGCAGTCGCACACCGGCTCGGCCGGCGCCAAGAAGGGAGCCCAGCACCAGATCGAGGCTGGATTGTCGCGGCAAAACGCGTCATCCCGCTCTCTCTCCTCCGGGTCCTTGGCTGCCGCCAGACGCGGCGCAGCCACTATGGACCGCGAGAGCGAGGCGGCGAGCAGAGCTCCACCGACGACCGCCGACACCAGCAGCCCCGCCGCCTCGCGCACCCGCGCACCCGTGTCGCGCTGCTGCGGCACGATCATGCCTCGCTGTGGGTTTCTGTGGCCAGCACCTTAGTGGCTTGGAAGAAAAACGCCGCGCATTGTCGAACGTTGCGTGGTGGCGGCGTGCCGTCCTCCCATCCCTCCCCTGGGCCGTATGTTTTCTTTCTAAAAAGAACGTTGCGTGCAACAAGGTGCTGCTCGACGCGACGCCATCATGCTCCGAGATGTCGCTCGCCTACGTGAGAGAGGACCGCCACCCCTGTCGCTAGCTCGCTAGTCACGTAGTTAGTCAGTCTTCCCTCTTCCGCGCTACAGGTACAGCTGTACTTCCTCTCCTGCGCTCCCGCACGCAGCAGCCCCTTCGCCTGAATCCTTCCACCTTCGCCTTCCCCCTCACTGACTGAAGGAAGAAATTTCTTGGAGGAAGAAATTTCTTGTTGGTCTTCAAAAATCTCTCTCTGACTGACACTGCGGTCTGCGCTGATCGCTGTCCACGCGCTGTATACACTGACACTCCTACCTGCTATAATACAGAGTGATGAGTGTACCACCCTTGGCCTTGCAGAATCCTGCAAAGCCAAAAAGTTTCCCAAAGCGCAAAAGGTGCCGGACCGTCGTCTTCGCTATATCGTCTCCCCCCCCGGCCACGCGACACGCGCGCGCGACCGCGCTTTTTTTTTGCACTTTTGCGAAAACTTTTGGGACGTGTGCCGCCGTCAGTGCCGGCATATCCATATGTGCGTCTTCTTTCTTTCCTTCCTTCTGAATTAAAAAACAATCGACCATTCGCCTTCTGCGGCTCCGCTCCTACCAGCTGCCCTTGTTGATCGTGCTCAGGTGCAGCTTCTCGTGGTTGCGCCTCCGCACGATGAGCTTGCTCGAGTGCTGCTTCTTGTTGCGGGTGCGCAGCCCCTTGGTGTACCATCCCCACGGCGACATGGACCCCTTCCGGCCGCCCGAGGTCTTGCCCTCGCCGCCGCCGTGCGGGTGGTCCACCGGGTTCATCGCCACGCCGCGCACCGACGGGCGGCGTCCGACCCACGCAGCGGCGCCCGCCTTGCCGAGCACGCGGTTCTTGTGCTGCTCGTTGCTCACGACGCCGATCGTCGCGGTGCACCCGACCGGCACCTGCCGCACCTCGCCCGACTGCAGGTTGAGCAGCGCGTAGGACTCGTCCTTGGACTGCAGCCGCGCCGACGTGCCTGCGGCGCGGCAGAGCGCGCCGCCACGGCCGAGGTGGAGCTCGACGTTGTGCACCCGCGTCCCCTCCGGAATGAGCCGCAGCGGCATCGCGTTGCCCGGCGTGAAGGGCGCCTCCTCGCCGCACTCGACCGTGTCGCCGAGCGAGAGCCCCTGCGGCGCGAGGATGTACGACCGCTGCCCGTCGGCAGCGTACTGGATGAGCGCGATGAAGGCGGAGCGGTTGGGGTCGTACTCGAGCCGCTCGACAACCGCCGGATCAGCGCGCCGCCGGTGGAAGTCGATCATGCGGTAGAGCCGGCGGTGGTGCGGTGCCGAGCGCCGACGCGTCGTGATCTGACCGGTGTTGTTCCTGCCCGCCTGGTGCTGCCCGGCGATGCGCGTCGTCAGCGAGGGCTCGGGCCGGCCGCGCCACAGGCCCGCCTTGTCAATGACAACGCGGTGCCGGCGGCCGGGGCTGGTCGGCTTGCACGGCTTGAGCTCGCCTATCCGCGCCATGCGCGCAGCCGCCGTGGCCATCCCTCGCAGCGGGAGGAGGCTGTCGAGGACGGATCTGCTGCTCGGCAGGTCGGCGGCGCGCCGCCCGAAGGCGGTGCTGGCCGGCGCCGCCCGCTGCGATAGTGCCCGCAGCAACATGCAATTTCCCTCGCACAACACTAGGCACGGGACTGGCCCGCGCACTGGCACTAACACAGGACAGCGAAGTGACTCCTGCGAGAAACTGCGAAGAGAGATACCCGGTAGGAAGATGTAGACGCCCGAGGATGGGCGACGGCTAGCACCGCACTTCTCTCCTTAAAATCCCTGTGTGGTGGCGGTGTGTGGCCGTCCTCCCACCATCCCTCCCTTGATATACCTGTTTTCTTTCTTTCTGGCGCACACTAGCACAGACAGAACAAATCTAAAAGAAAGAAAACAGCAACCCACGAGGGCTATCTAGATACCGGGCAGCGCTTGGCGGAAGTTGCTCCCGCGTGTTTGGTGCGTGCCCGCCCCCCTGCGCGGCGGACCCAATTGCGTCTTGAGCCCACCCGAGTTCTCCGCGGGGCAATTTTGCGTCTTGAGCCAGCCTTGAGCTCTCGAGGCAATGCCGCGCGAGGAGGTGGGGGCGCCGCGGCAAGACCTCTCCGCGCAACCCAGCGTGAGCGCGCCGAGCGCGCGGCTTCGCGGCGCCGACCCGTTCAGGATGCCCCTCGGTCCGGAGGCCGCCGCACGTCAACAGGTTCCTCTATTGTACGGCCAGGGCGGGCCGCGCGTCCTAGGGCTCGATCGCTGCGCCGCTTTCCGGTCGCGGACGGCGGTGGCGCGGCGCAGGGTGGCGGTGGCGGGTCTCTTCAACACCGGCACCAACCTCCTCTTCCAGCTGCTATTGAAGAACTGCGCGCTGGACCAGGCCCCGATGTTTCAGGTCCCATGGGGGAAGCACAACCCTCTGCACTGGCGCGGGAGGCACTGGGCGCCTCGAGGCCGCGGGCGGCACGTCGACGTCTCGGTAGAGTGCGCCGTGTCGGGCAGCGCAGGCCGGCGGCCCCATTGTCACTTTCTAGCGGTTGCCAGGCGATCTTGCCGCTCGTGACCATCAAGGACCCGCTCAGCTGGATGGCTTCCATGTGCCGCAGCCCGTATGCTGCGCACTTTGGGCGCGGCGCAAAGGCGGCCGCCGGCGAGCACGGGTCCACGGGCCTCTGCCCATCGCCGCTGCCGGCGACGGCCACCAAGGTCGCGTGGCAGCCCAAGCGAGTGTACAAGTACTCCTCGCTGCCGGACCTTTGGAACCGCTGGTACCGCGAGTACGTCGATGCCAGCCTACCCGCGGTGCTGGTCCGGTACGAAGACCTGCTCTTCGACCCGGAGCGCACCGTCGCCCCTCTCTGCACGTGCGCCGGCGGCCGGCTGCGGAACGGCACCTTCCGCACCGTCGAGGACGCGGCCAAGACGAGAGCAGCGGGACACCGCACGATCACCGACCGCAGCTCGGCGCTCTCCAAGTACGGCTCCGAGCGAGAGCGCTACCGCCGTTACTCGCGCGTCGACCTCGACTTTGTGAGGCGCGCGGTCGACCCGGAGCTGCTGCGCTTCTTCGCGTACAGGGTCCGCCCGGGGGGGGCGCTGAACGCAACAAGCAGATAGCCGTGTTGGGTCGCTATTGTCACTTGTGGGAGGGTTGGGGGATTGGGTAGATGAGGGATTTTTTGTTTCGTCCCTGTGTTAGTGCTTACGTCCGTGTGGTTCTTGTTCGACGCTTCTTCAGCGCCAGTCCCGTGCCCAGTGCCGTGCCAGGGAGCTTTGTTGTAAAATTCTTTATTGCCAGTGGTCCCGTGCCCAGTGTATAAATAAATAAAACGGATGACGAGGGGTGGGAGAAGGACAGGGTCCCCACCTCCCCACCTGCACGAGCAGGATCTTGTAAGGACGATCAGGGACACAGGGGAACGGGAGCGGGGAGCGCATCGCGACACGGAGGGGGGCTGGGCAGTCGTGCGAGGCAGCTTGAGTGCCTGGGGCCCGGCGGGGAAACCGCCGTTCCATCGATTGAACTCACAGCGCGACGCCACCGAAGCAAACACGGGGAACCTCCCTCTCCGTCAGAGCGCCTGATGATCGCTCTCAGTCTGGTCCTCGTGCTCGGAGAGGGCGCGCCAGTGGCGTGGGTCGTCGAGTCGGAGAGCTACGCCAAGGCCGTGCAGGCGGCGTCTTCCGGTTGGCAGATCGAGTGGTGTGGTCCCAACGGCTCGCGCTGTCTGAAGAGCCCTGCTGCGTCGGTCCGAGCGGTGGTGGGGCGTGCCGACTCCCTGAACCTGAGCACGATTCCTCAGCTCGCGCTCGTGCAGTCGGCCAGCTGGTACCCTATCAGCGCCCGTGCCGTTCCGCCATCAGCCACCATCTGCAACTTTGACATCTGGCCCGACCCGTGGTATAAGAATTACTCCGTCGCAAACATCGGTGAATTTGCGGTGGCTGCCATCTTTGAAGACACCTACAGCTTTGCTGCGCGATCCAAGACGTTTGTCGCCTGCGCCTTCTCTGCCGACGCTCCGAGCCGCTGTCCCTCAGCCTCCACCGCGACCAACCATCGGACGGTCGCCGCGCTGACGATCGGTGTGCTTGGGTACGGCCGCATCGGCGTGCAGGTCGCGCAGCGCATGGCGGCCCTCGGTGCGGACGTCATCGCCACCAAAAGGTCGGGGCCCTTTGCGCCCGCACCCCCGGGCCTGCGCTGGCTCTCCGACAACAACGACGAGCTGCTTCGCGAGGCGGACGTGGTCGTGGTGGCCGTGCCGGGCTCGACGTCTGGACTGATCAACGCGACCGCGCTCGGCTTGATGAAGCCACGCGCCCTCCTCGTGCCGATCGCGGCGGGGGCGGTTGACTTTGCGGCGCTCGAAGCCGTGCTCAATGCGCGCCCCGCGCTCCGAGCGGTTCTCGACGTCTGGCCGAGCGGATGCTGGGACGACGACGAAGCCTCGTGTGGCCCGCCGTACGGCCCACGGGACTGGCCGGGCAGCCCCGCGTTCGCCTCCCTGCCAAACGTCGTCGCCCTTCCGGGACTGGCGATGCGCGATGCGCGCTTTTGGGCAGACTCGGCGGCCCTCGCCGGTGCAAACCTCCGAGCCTTGGCGGCGGGCCAGCCCGTCCAGCACGTGGTGCGGAATGCGACGCACTCGGGTCGGTCGCCGACGGGAGCGGCGTGGCAGACTTCTTTTTTGAGTCTTGAGTGAAAATAAGACGGACAAACACAACGGCTCGCACACGACACTCACCAGAGCCGCGCACTTGGCTTCGCTTGGAGCACCACTCCCACTCCCCGTTGTCGGGGGAGTGCAGCTGGTAACCTCACTGCTCACATCCAGGGCCGGGGAGCGGGGAGCTAAGTCCTAAGAAGCGGACCCAGCGCAAGGGTGCTTGTGAGGGGTCCGGCCGGTTTGTGTCCGGCCAAGACTTCTTTGAGCCTCATGGGTTTCTTCGTGCGGCCAGTCTGCGCCCTTGTCGTGCCAGTGTGCTGTGGCAGAGGGCGAGGCAGGATGCGGGCGAGAATTCTTCTCTGCGATTCTGCCGCCAACGGCTGCATGGGCTCGCAGTCTCAGACCTGGTCCGCCCTCTACGCCAAAAACACTGCCAAGAAGAACAAGAAGTGGCTCGATGGCACCCTCCACGCTCGGCAGATGGGGTCGCGCTGGGGAGTCACGCTCAAGACGGAGACCGGCGTTGTGCTCGAAGAGGTGAGGTGTACGGCTGCCGCCCGGATCCCTCTTGCCTGCCAACCACACCGCCCCGTCGCTCGCAGGGCAACGTCCCGTCAGGCGTCCTTTGCGAGGGCGGCGAGTTCGCTCTCGAGCTCTACCTGGTGCAGGTCGACGGACTCGCAAACGGCCAGAGCGCACTCCCGAGCTCCTCCGCGCCTGCAGAAGCAAGCACAAACGTCCGCAGCGGCTTCCGCCGCCCTGTGCAGCAGCCCTTCCAGCGGCCTGCGCAGCAGCCCTTTCAGCGGCCTGCACAGACGTCGACGGGCGCAGCGGCGTTTCACGGCGGGCGGGCCACGGCGACTGCAGCCACTCTTCCGGGCCCGCCTCGCCACCCAGCCCCGCCGCAGCGGCCATCGCTGGCCCGCAGCACAGGACAGCACGGCGGCGAGGCGCCGGCTGCTTCGCTGGGCGGTGGAGGACGCGGGTTTGGATTGGGCGGCGCGATAGGCGGTCTTCAGGGCCCGCCGCAGCAACCGCCTCTCTGCAGCAGCAGCGGCGCCGCGCTGCCCCCACGCCGCTCCGCGAGCGCAGTCCTGCAGCTGCTGCGGGGGGACTCGGCCGCGCCAGCCGCTGCACCCGCGACGCCGGCACTGCCTTCCAACCCAGCAGCAGCAGGGCCAGGCATCGGCCGAAACGGTTGGCCGCCCGCTGGCCCGCCCACAGGGCCCGCTGGGCCGCCCGCCAGCAGGCAGGGGTCTGCAGCCTCGGGCTTCGTCCCGCCGCGCCGCTCGGCCGGCGACGTGCTGCGCGCTCTCCAGCCGGCAGAGGCCGGGACCCGCGCTGCAATTGCGAAGCCGCGCTCCTCTCCCGGCCGCCGAGCCTCGCGCAGCAGCGGCGGCGACAACGACTTTAGCTTTCCTGCGGCCTCCGAGTGCGCCGCCGGCATGTGGCCGTCGCCGGCGCCCGCGGGCCGTCTGCACTTCAGCTCGCTGCCAGAGTACACGACCACGATGCGCGGGCTTGTGCTCGAGCAGATGAATCTGGCGCTGTGGGAGCTGGCGAGGCGAGCGCACGCGATGCTCGGCGCCGGGCGCAGCGCGCCGCAGCTCCGCGGCGCCGGCGTCCCCTTCTACGCCCGGGCGGAGCTGACGGTGCACCGCAAGCGCTCCGGGGGGCAGTTTGGCCGTGGGCGAGGCTCCGGCGGCCGGCAGCGAGGCGGCAGGAGCGGCGACGATTACGACGGCGACAGCGATTGCGACGGCGACGACGGCGACGGCGGCGACGGCACCCTGCTCTTCCTCACTCTCCCTCGAGGCCCCCGCGAGGCCGGCTCGAGCTTCAGCCTTGACGACTTGTGGGTGCTGCTGCCGCCGGCCGCCGGCGCCGCCGACGCCGTCGACTCGGCCGCCGCGCCGCTCTTTGTCCGCTCCATGTGGCACGGGCCCAACTCGGACGGCAAGATTGGAGTGGAGCTCGCTGGCGGAGGCTCGGCGCGCGCGCTGCCGTCGTCGGCGCGGTACTACCACGCGCTTCGTGGGCCAAACGCGGGCGACACGCTCGCCACGCTCGCGGTCCTCGATTCGCTCGCGCTGCCTCGCTCCCCCCCCCTCCTCCGCTTCCTCCTCGGCCCGCGCTCGGCCCCGCCCGAGCCGCCGCTGCGCTCTGCTACGCCAGTCGCCTCGCTCCTCGTGCAGGCTGTCGACAAGTTCCGCCTCAACGCCGAGCAGGCGGAGGTGTGCCGCCGCGTCGCCGGCTGGTTCGAGCCGTCGGCGGCGGCGGCGCCAGAGGGGGCGGCTGCGCCCTCCTTTCCCTCTCCGGTGGTGCTGGTGCACGGCGCGTTTGGGGCTGGCAAGTCGCTGCTGCTGGCCGCTGCCATGTGGATGCTCCGCCGCGCGCTCTCGCCCGGCGGCGGCGGCGGCGGCGGCGGCGGCGGCGGCGGCGGCGGCCCCCCGAGCCAGGTCCTGTTCGCGTCGCTCACCAACGTGGCGGTCGACAACGTGCTGCAGGTCCTGATCGACCACGGCGAGGGCGACGCGCTGCTCCGCATCGGCTCGGCGCGGCGCATCGCGCGGCGGGTGCTGCCGCGCTCGACGCACGGCCGGCTCGCAAAGTCGGACGAGGCGGCCATCCGCTCCGAGCTACAGGCGGCGCTGCAGCACGCGTCGCCAGCGGAGCGGCCAGGCCTGGTCGCGGCGCTCGAGGAGCTCACCTCGGGCCGCATGGCTGCGCGCGCGCGCGCCGTGCGCGCCTACCCCATCCTCGGCGCGACCTGCTGCGCGACGCGCCTGCCCGTCCTCGAAGGCGTCCGCGTGGCAGTCACTCTCCTCGACGAGTGCTCCCAGATGAGCGAGCCGTCGTCGCTGCTCCCGATCGCGCGGCTCGGCGCTGCGAGGCTGCTGTGTGTCGGCGACCCGTGCCAGCTGCCGCCCACGCTCCTCGCCCGCCCGCCGTCCGCCGCCGCCCCGGCGCCCGCGCCAGGGTCAGCCGACGGCCCCGCGCCCGACCTGAGCCTGACCCTCTTCGAGCGGCTGGCGCGGTGCGGAGTGCCGCCGGTGCTCTTGCGCGCGCAGTACCGCTGTCATCCTCTTATTTCCGGCATCGCGTCGCGCCTGTTCTACCGCGGGCAGCTCGCCGACGGCCTCGGGGCGGCCGCCGCGCAGGCGCGCGCGCCGCTCTTCCACGGCTTGCCGACCATCGGCTTCTCCCAGGTCTCGCACGGCGCCGAGGTGGAGAAGCGCGGGAGCGTGTCCAACCGCGCCGAGGCGTGCCGCTGCCTCGCGCTGCTGCGTTCGCTCGTCACGTCCGGCGTGCCAGCCACCATGATTGGCGTCATCTGCCTGTACCGCGCGCAAGCGGAGACACTCGTGTCGATGCTCGGGGCCGGCGGCGAGGAGGCCGGCGGGCACGCGGGCGGTGGCGGCGCCTCCGGCACGGCCGGCGGCGGTGGCGACGACGGCGAGGCGCAGGCGCTGCGTGCCGTCGCCGTGTCCACCGTGGACGCCTTCCAGGGGGCCGAGCGCGAGGTGGTGCTCGTCTCAACCTGCCGGACGCAGAGCCTCGGCTTTGTGGCCGCGCCGCGCCGGCTGAATGTGATGCTCACGCGCGCCAGGAGCGGCCGCCAGTAGTCGAGAGTAGCCCGCGTCGCCGCCGCCTTCACGCAACGCCTTCCCGCACCGCCACCCGCGCTCGCCTCTGCTCACCCGAGCGGCGCCTTTAGCAGGCGCCATCTCCTCGTCGTCGGCTCGAGCTCCGCTCTGCTGACGGACGGCCGATGGGCGGCGATCCTTGACGCCGCACAGCCGCTCCCCGACAGCTGCGCGCGCGGCGAGCCGCTGCCTCCGACCGACGCTTTCCACGAGGTGATGCGGGCTGCGGAGGAGGCGGAGGAGGGCGGGCGGGGCGCCAGCACCAGTGCCGAGGCGGAGCCGGAGGGCGACGGGGAGGAGGAGGAGGAGCCGTGGAGGAGGAGGAGCCGTGGCCAGCACCAGTGCCGTGGATCGGCGGGAAGCGAAGCGAGCGGCGCGGGGCTCACGAGCGGGCAGCGCGCGCTCTACTCGTGCGACGGCGGGGCATCCTCGATGGAGGTGCGAGCCGCCCGCCCTCGCCGCTGCCACTGCCTGTTCCCAACCCCGCGCCGCTTTGCTCTGCAGGTCACAGTCATCGCGCTGCACCACGACGACCCGGAGGGCATGTACGCGACGATCCGACTCCCAGACGGGAGGGAGAGGCACACGGAGGCGTCGAGGCTGCTGCCGCCCCCGGCGGCAGCAGGCGCTCGCGCGGAGTCGGCAGGCTGGTGAGCGAGGTCTCGAGATGAGAGGTCTGGGCGATCGTTGGCGGAGGCGCCGCTCGGGGACCAATTTGCAGCTGCCCGAGTGCCCCCGACCACGCGAAACAATGACGACATGTGCGAGGTACCATACTACGTCGGTACTCTCTACTCTCCCTTTGCATCTCCGGTACAGTTTGTTGGGGCAGTCTCTTTCCCCGAGGGCTTATTCTTGTGTTTGACCATGAACGGCGGAGCGCTATTCTCACTCTCCACACCACACCTGGCTCTCCAACGTGGACACGGCGCCACATAGGTCATAGCTCTACGGTCTGCGCTGTACCTGTAGGCTGTTGCCTGCTCTGGGGACACTATGATCTCTAGCGCTGTTCTTCGCCTTCCTACCTAACCTAACCTAACAAGAATACCCGACCACCCCTTGTTTGGTGTGTCCGTTTTATTTATTTATTTATACTGACAAGAATACCCGAAGGCCAAGTGCTCCAAGTCGCAAGTCCTGCTGCTGCTGGGTTCCGAATGCTCCAAAACGTATATAATCCCCTGGTGGTCTATCTAAAAGCAAAAACGGCGTCAAAACGTACGTAGTGGCACCCTAGAGGCTGTCCCCAATAGCAGTGTCTAGCAGCCGCAGCTCGCGGCGCGAAAACATCCGGGGCACGAGCTTGACGCGCACGAGCATCAGCACGCCGATCACCGAGGGGAAGACGAGAGCCGTCGACGGGTTGCACCGGAGAGCGAGGAGCCCGAGCAGGCAAGCGGCCTACGGGCAGGGGAGGGTGGGATCGATCTGTCTGCGTGCGTGCGTGCGTGCGTGCGTGCGTGCGTGCGTCCGCGGCGCGCGCGCGCGTGTGTGTGTGTGTGTGTGTGTGTTTTGTGTGTGTCCTGTGTTTTGTGCGGGGCGGAGCGGCACCTGTACCGCCGTGAAGCGAAAGACGGCCCATCTGCCCAGCGCAACCATCTCTCGCTCGGCGCCGTCGACGCGAGGGTCGAGCGTCCCCTTCTCGAGCCACAGCTTCTTGCAGCGCTCGACGAAGAGGTTGCCGGCGACCACGCGCCTGCCGAGGTGGAGAAAGACGCCAGACACGACCGGGAGCGGCACGACGGAGAGGAGGGGCAGCGCGAGCGACGAGGCGAGCACGCCCGCGTGGACGCCGAAGCCGGTGAGCCGCGTCTCGATCACGCGCTCCGGCTCCTCCACGGTGGAGCCGTCGGGCGCCTTGCGCGTCGTGTAGAGCGTCATCGCGCGGATCTATAGAGCAGGACCATTCTGCTCTATAGTCGCTCTCCACATCGAATGATCCGTGCTCTATAGAGGATGAGCCGCGCGTGGTTGAGCGACTCGACGGTGGCGGAGCACCTGAAGCAAGAGGTGGCGAGCCACTCAAACGAAGGCTCTGCACGGGCTGAGCGACTCGGCGGCGGCGGAGCACATCCACGGCAGCCCGCAGAGGGAGGTGGCGCCGGTGAGGAGGGCGAGGACGAGCAGGTCGAGGTGGTACGCCGCGCCTTTGCGCAGCTTGTTCGCCGGCGCGTTGACCGTTCGCACCGTGATGTTTTGGTCGAGGAAGAAGAGCAGCGCGAGGAAGACTGCGGGAAGCGCCGCCAGCAGCCGCCAGCGCGGCGCCAGCGCAAAGAGGTCGACGAGGAGCGGCCGGCCCAAACCGCATAGCCGGCCGAGGCTGCTGCCCACGGCGGCGGTCCCGGCGGCGGCGGCGGTGCCGATTGCGGCGGCGGCGGCGGTGCCGCTTGCTGCTGCGGCGGTGCCGCTGGCTGCTGCGACGGGCAGGCGCGTCAGCGAGCCGAGCGCGGCGACGGAGGGGAGGAGGGAGGCGGCTGTGACGGCGAGGATGACGAGGGGAGGCCCAAAATCGGAGATGGCCTGCGACTCGGCGGCGTCTCGGGTGAGGTCTCGGGCGGATCTCGGGGGGGCGTCGAGGCGCGTAGCGAGGGGCGGCGCCTCGCGCGCCATCGGAGAGAGGTATCGCTTCGAGCGGAAGGCGGCGGTCGCCTGGCAGAGCCACGCCGTGAGCCCCGCCGTGTTGAGGGCGAGGAAGCCGGAGCCGGCCAGTCCCGTGAAGGAGGCGCGGATCGAGCGGCACGCCTCGGCGACGTAGTTGAAGGCGAGCAGAAAGTTGAAAACGTCCTCGGTGAAGCGCGTGCAGTACCGGATCAGGCCGGACAGGTTGGCCACCGAGGCGGCGAGCAGCATGCCCGACGTCCACATGCCGACCCACGCATACATCGGCAGGAAGGGCAGCGAGAGGGCGGAGCAGTAGGCGTACAGCGCGGTCGTGAAGGCGAGCGTGAGCCCCGTGGGGCCGAGGAAGGTCATTGGCTGCCCCGCCGCCGCCGCGTGGGCCATGCCGCACACGCCGCGCGACAGGATCACCTCTGGCACGCCCATCGCCCCGTCCGTGAGCACCGACATTGCGCCGCCAAACGCGAGCACCGGCGCGAGGCAGGCGAACCAGAGGAAAGTGATGGCGGCGCACGACTTGGGCGTGAGGCCGTCGCGCCAGTCGGAGGCGTAGCACGCAAGCCTCCGGCTCGCGTCGTCGCTGATGCCGCGGCCCCACTGCACTGAGCGCAGGCCGCGCCGCCCGCCGACCGACGGGTTGGCGCGAGGGTCGCCCGTCGGCCACACGAATGAGCCAAACGAGAGCGGACCGAGGAACGGCGAGCCAGAGGCGGCCATCTCTGCCGCCTCCTCCTCGGCGCGGCGAGTCAGCATCGCCAGCCGGCGCCGCGAGGCCGGCGTAGGCGCAACCGTGCCCTCTTCGTCGGTGCCCTCTTCCTGGCGATCGTCCATGACTCGCTCAATCACATCGCGCTGGCTGCGGATCGGGCCCTCATCCGCCGACTCGCTGCCGTCGCCACTGCCACACAGCACCGGCCGCGGTGTCGCTCGCCGTCGGGACAGCGGCACGAGCGGGGAGGGGAAGGCGGGCGGCGCAAGCAGTGTCAGGACGACTGATGGGAAGTGCAAAAGCATGCAGCTTGTTCGCCCGCCAGCTTGTTCACCTCGCTTGGCACTGGCGCGCACACTGGCACTAAGATACAGTTGTAACACAGGTAGGCATGGGTGAGAAAGGAGTTCTCTGGGTAAGCTCAGCTGTGAACTTCCCCAGTTGTTTGCTCTTGCTTGCGCGTGGCCCTTGCGTGCACGCCCAAGCTCGAGCGGCATCACGCAGAGCGAGCTCTGCGCAGGTCCCGCGACCTTCTCGGGCAGGAGCCCACCTCTCCTTCCCTCCGTGCGCCCAACGATATGGGCAAATCCGCGCCGAAGCGCGCTTCCGACGCTGACCAAGACGTACGGCCCGCAGAGGCAAAGGATGGATCTGGGCCGGAGCCCCCCCCCTCGGGGGCTGGCGGGGGCACCGACGGGGCCCCAGCCGCGCCTCCCGCTCCCGTGGACTCGGCCGAGGAGCTGCGAGTGCTTCGCAAGCAGCTCGAGCGGCTCGAGGCTCAAGCCGCACAGCCCGCCGCACAGCCCGACGGGGGAGACCCCCCACCGGGCGGCGGCGGCGGCGGCGGCGACGGCGGCGGAGCGGGCGGCAAGGCGGCCAAGGACCGCGAGCGGATGCGCCCCGACCCTCCCACCCCCGCAGACTCCGACGCCGACTCGTCGGAGGACGACGTGGGCGGCGGTGGTCACCGCGGCCCCCCCCGCCTCGGCGGCGGCGTCGGTCGCGACGATGCTGTCGGCGAGCGTTCGGCTCGCCTGCGACTACGACAGCGACAACCCCTTCGAGCGGAAGCGGGGACTGCGGCAGCGGACCTCGCACTACTCGCCAGCGGCGGCGGGCGACACCGTGCACGCAGAGCTGCACCGCAAGCTCGGGGCCGCGAACCAACGGGAGGTGTGCACCCTCCTTCCCTCCCTCTCGTACATGTACGACCTGTGCGCCGCTCGCTTGTGGGTGAGAACGGAGTTCTCTGGGTAAGCTCAGCTGTGAACTTCCCTGTTGTTTGCTCTCCCTCCCTCCCTTACCCGGTTCATGACTTGCTAGCGGGACCTGAGTATTGTATTAAAATACTGTAAGGCCTATCGGTTCCCTGGGCGTTCACTATAGCGCTCGCTTGCACCGCAGAAAGAATTTTACGAGGCCGGTGCGCACGTGTCGTCAACGTCATCATCTGTCTCGCGTCCACCCATACCGCTTTGGTGCCCAGTCCGAGCCTGGCTGTTCTTCACCTTCCTACCTAACCCAAGCACGACACTGGGCACGGGACTGGCGCGCACTGGCACTAACACAGGTACACAGAAAAGAATTTTACAGGGGCGACAATGTGGGCGTGTTTTCTTTCTTTCTTTCTCTAGGCACGGGACTGGCGCGCACTGAAAAGTTTCCAAAAGCACTAGAATTTTACAAAGGCTCTTGACAGGGTGGCCCGCCACAGCGACCCCTGGAATTGCGACTTGCCGCTTTCGCACGAGTTTGAAAAGGGCGACGGACGCTTGCGTCCTAGCCTCCAACAAAGCCTCCCCGGCGCAGAGGGGCCCCCGGAGGGATGCACAACCGACCCACGCCACGCCGCTTGCGGCGGTCCTATCCCCAGCTCCGCTGAGGTGCGTGCGTTATTCTTGGCTCATCGTCGACGAGGAGCGCACGCCACCCAACGAGCCCAACGAGCCACCCAACGATGTCGGTTGCGCCACCCAACGAGCCGCCGACTCGAGAGCAGGTCCGGGCAGCCCTTCCAGAGACCAGCATCGCCGTCTCGCTGCCAGAGAGCCTCCGGCCAGTGCAAGCACCCGCTGATCTGGTCAAGGCGATCGTTGCGTTGCTCGGCGCCGCACAAAAATCGGCCGGAGCTCCGTCCAAGGCGGCCGGTCGATTTGCTGTGCTGCTCGTCACTCCTTCCGCCCCACGCGCTGCGTCTTTGTGCGGATTGCTGTCTCGTGCAGGCCTCAAGGTTGCCAAGCTCTTTGCGAGGCACCTCACCGTCGATGAGCAGGCCGCCTTCCTCTCGACGCATGCGGTCGACGTCGCGGTCGGCACGCCCAACCGCCTCTGCCGCCTCTGCCGTGACGGGCTGGTCGACCTCTCGGCGCTGCGGTACGTTGTGGTTGATGCGACGCCCGATGCCAAGCAGCAGACCATCTTCAGCCCCGCGGGCAAGGGCAAGGGGCGCCGGCCGGACGCAGCCGAGCTCGCCGCCCTCCTCACAACGGGCAGCTTTGTGGATCGGCTGCTCAAACCGCGCGCCCCAGTGCTCTGTCCGGTCGTGCTGCCGACGCCGGCGGCGCTCGAGGCGGCTACGCCCGTGAGCGTGCGGCTGCAGGGGCGCGGGCGCGGGCGCGGGCGCGGGGGCAGACGCGGTGGCGGTGCGGCCATCAAGAAGGCTAGGCGGCCAAAGGGCAGCTGAAGCTGCGCTCACAGATCCTACGACTCCATGGAGTATTCACTCCCGTTCCTCACCTGCTACAGCCTACACGTCCAGCGATCCGCCGATCCTCCCCCAGTGCCCAGAGATCGGATACAAGGTACGCCGCGTGTGTGTGCGCGTCGGCGGTGTGTAACCTTTGGTCCGTAAAAACAACTACGCCCACCCTTACCGTGACGTAGTTGGTTGCAGCACGATGCTCTGTGTGCGCCGATCCGGGTGTAATACATATACGTGTTGTCTCGTTGCGAGTCTTGAGAGAGGTGTCAGGTGAGATATACGAGAGAGGAGGGGCGGGGGGGAGCCAGGACGCATGCGGCATGCGCAGGAGACAATATAATCCGAAGTGTTGGCTGCCGCCACCGGGCCAGGGGAGACCACATGGAGAGAGAAGCCTCTGTGCCAATCTCTGCCAGATGAGCACCGTGGCGCATCGACCGTCTCGTAGCCCTGCTCTGTGCTACGGGTGCGGCCTTTTGCCAACAACAAGCTCGAGGCGAAGATCAGCCGCGGGGGCGATGCTCTGCACCGGTCGCTTCTCGCCTGGCGGCAAGACGACGTTGATGGTCTGGAGAGGGCAGCTCCATGCCGACTCTGGCCAAACTGCGGCCGCGGCGACGTGGAGAGACCCGTCCCGTGCCGTCACTGAGACACTCAGCTGCGTGCCTGCACCCTGCGCCGCGTCCGACACGCCGTCGTCCTCGACCCAGCATGCCTCCGCCGCCACGCCGTCGAACGCGGGATCGGGTGGCAGCGGAAACACGCGCACCGTGCGGCTGATGCCTCCGTCGAGGGCGGAGCGCGCCTCCGGATCGGCGAGCGGCACGCAGCAGCCTACCCATCAGGAAGCTCCTCAGTACCGCGCTCCATCCTTCTGCTCCGCGCGGGCCACGCCCGCCGGCAGCGGCGAGGAGCGGGATGCGGTCGAGCGGCGCATCCAGCGTCAGCGTCTCTCCGCCGGGATGCCAAGCTCCGCCGTGCCAGTCCCACCAGCCGCGGCCGCCATTCTGAGGGAGGTAGACGTCGCGCCGCCGCTCGCCTGCGTCGAGCACGTTGGCAACGAGCAGCGCCGGGCCGCACATGAAGTCGTCGCTGGGTCGCCAGCAGCGGTCGTCCTCCTCAAAGTCGAACCAGGTCGGCCGCAGCGGCGGCACGCACTCGTCGCGCGCCGAGCGAAGGAGCGAGTAGAGGTACGGGATCAGCGCGTAGCGGAAGCGGATGGCGTCGAGCACCAGCGCCGCCACGCCAGGGTGGAGCCAAGCCGACGTCGGAGGCCCGCCCGCGTTCCACGAGTGGATCGTGAAGCGAGGGTGGAAGACGCCGCTCTGTACCCACCGGACGAGCATCTCGGCCGGCGGCGGCGGGCCGGCGAAGCCGCCGACGTCGTGCCCGGTGTTGAAGCAACCGGAGAGGCCTACACGCGCGTCACACACTGGGCTCCCGGACGGGGCCGGTGTGGGCCCGGAGCGCAGGGGCGAGGTGCCGAGGCCGAGCCCCATCCACAAGTTGTACCGCAGAGTCTTCCACTCGGTGTAGTTGTCGCCGCTCCAGGTCTGCACGTAGCGCTGCATGCCCGGCATCCCGCTCCGCGAGATGAGCCACGGCCGCTCGCCCGGCGCGTGCGCGCGCTGCGCCCGCCAAGACGCCTGGCACATGAGCAGCGCGTGCAAGGGCCGCACCAGCCGGAGCGGCACGCGCCGCCCAAACCCGTGGCAGAGGGCGTGCTCGTCCTCGATCGCATACTCGTTGTTGTCATTCCAGGTGCCGACGATGCCGCGCCGCAGCAGCGCCGCGGCCACGCGGTCTTGCCACCACGCGGCGGCGGCCGGGTTCGTAAAGTCGAGGTGCGAGCCTGAGGGCGGGCCAGGCGGGCGAGAGGTCGGACACGCACGTGCGCGCTCTGGCGCTGCGCGCTGCCCGCATTGCGCGCGGCGCACCGTCCGCGTCCCAAAACATGGACCGCTCGGGCGAGTACGCCGCTGCCGACGGCGTGGAGGGCCAAAACACCGCGCCCGAGGAGGGAGGCGCACCCGCCGCCGCCGCGGAGGCCGCGCCCGAGGCGCCGACGAAGAGGGCCGCCGCAGCGCAGGCGGCGTACTCGGGGTGGTCGACCAAGAGGCAGGGCCTGCGAGGCGGCGCGAGCTCCGTCGCTGCCGGGCCACAGCCTCTCGCCGGGCGTGGGGCTGGGGCGTGAGGCTGGGGCGTGGGGCTGGGGCGTGGGGCTGGGGCGTGGGGCCACGGGCGGCGGAGACTTGATGTTGGCGGCGAGGCGCACGCCAGCGGCGGCATAAGCGGCGGCGAGCCCGTCCGGGTCGGGCACCTTGCCGCTGTTCCACGTGAAGACGTGCCGGCGGCCGGCGGCGGAGGAGGAGTAGCCGCTGGAGAGCTGGAAGGAGGAGAGCGGCACCTGCCTCGCCGCGCACTCGGCGAGAAAGGCCTCGAGCTGCCTCTGGGCGTCGGGCGCATCGGTGAAGGCCATCGTCGAGCCTGCGGCGGGGGCGTGGAGGGGCGTGGAGAGGTCGGTGGAGGCGTGTGGGGCGGCCAGGCCATGGAGGGGGCGCGGCAGGGAGGGTCGCTCGCCCGAGTAGCCGAGCGACCAGCGCGGCGGCAGCAGCGTCTCGCCGGTCAGCCACGAGAAGCGGGCCTAGTGCTGACAGCCTCTCGGCGATAGCTCATGACTCACACCCCTGAGTCTCGCCGCTCCGCCACCGAGGAGCGGGCCGTCACGCTGCGTACCCTCGGCCCGAGCAGCACGTAGTAGTCGAGGTCGCCGCACTCGGCCTGGTAGCTCGCGAAGAGGCCGTGGTAGTTGTTGAGCTCGCACCCAAAGTCGAGCGCCGCCCGCGCCATCGAGTCGTAAAAGACACCTGACGGCAGCACCGCCTCCGCGGCTTACCGAGCCACTGTGAGAGCTGCCCTCGCGCGTCGCCTGGGATGAGGCGCACCGTACGCGCCGCCCCCCCCGCGAGAGACCGCGCGCAGCGGCGGCGGCTCGCCGTGCCCGTCCGGACCGAGCGCCTCCGGAGGCTCCCCCGTCCCGGAAGGGTCGGCGGAGCTCGCGCACGGCTTGCCGATGTAAAAGGGGTAAAACTTGTAGAGCGGATCGCTCCGCTCGGCGTCGTACCCCATGGCGTCGACGCAGCGCAGGTCGAATCGCCGGCCCGCGCGGTTGAGAGCTCCGCTGCGCTCGCCGCACCCAAAGTAGGCGTCGCCTCGCCGGCGGGAGACGTAGTGCGAGACTCGGCCGTCGGCGCCGACGTAGTACGCACCCGTCGGGCGATCGCGCAACAGGAGCTTCCAATCACCAGTCGCCTCGTCATGCCACGCCCATGTCAGCCTGAGCGGCTCGCCCACGGCAGTACCCACCGTGACACGCAGGCGGCCGGTCGACAAGCGAACGGAGCCATCGACGGTACGCTCGAGCGTGGTGTCGGGCATCGCAAAGCCTTCGGTGCTCTCCTTGGGCCTACCTTCCTCGGGGAGCGACGCCATTCCGGGAGCGACCATCCACGAACGGTCTAGCGCACGGCCCGATGGGCGGAGAAGCGAGACCCGGATGATGTCAACCTCGACGCACGTAAGGCTAAGAGTCAGACCCCCGCCGATGTCTAGCGTGCAGCCGCCCTTGTGTTCGGTGAGTCGCGGCTCGCGAACGAGGCGAGCAAGCATCGTTTGTTGTTGAATTTTGGCGTTCGAGCTGGCTGGGTGTGTGTGATGAGTGTGTGTGTGCTGGGGGGGGGCGACAGGGGGGACGTGGCCCTGAGTGATGTGTACGCCCACTCAGGGTGTGTGGCAGCCCGCTGGCTGTGTGTCTTGTGAGCTTGTTTGTGTCTGTGTGTCGCTCGAGCGTGTCGTGATGTCTCGCGTCCACCCATACCGCGTTGGTGTCCAGTCCGAGCCTGGCTGTTCTTCGCCTTTCTATCAATCAATCAGCTCACTGGCACTAACACAGAATCGGCGAGGGACTGCGAAGAGAGATAGGAAGAGGCAGACGGCCAAGAGGGTGGGCGACGGCTAGCAACACACCTTCCTTCCCGTGAAATCCCTGTGTGGTGGCGGCGTGCCGTCCTCCCATCCCTCCTTTGGGTTGTCTGTTTTCTCTCTTTCTTTCTCTGGGCACTAACACAAGAAATCACGACTCTCGAAAAAAAACACAGGAACACCCGCGGAAATAAACTTCAAGGCACCGGACGCGACCGGCCTCAAAGGGGTTCTGGGGGTCCGGCCTCCTCGCGCGAGGCATGGGTTTCTCTAAAGCCCTCAACAACTACAAGGGAGCGGTCACGACAAACGGCAAAACTTCAAGGCTTTTTATGTCCTCGTACCTCGAGAATGGCAGCCGAACTTGTGATGGGGATATCGAGGGGTCCCGTACCATGCGGAATCGACCCTATCCAGTGCTCAAGTGCTCAAGTGATGGGATACCCTCGGAATCCAACTGCATCCGACGGCGGCCGAAATTGTTTTTTGTTACTTAATCTGAAAGGGTTGTGAACACAAAAGGATAAGCGCTGTCTCTACTCAGCTGCTCCGCTTGACTTACTTACTTTATCTATGAATGAAGCGTGAACAGCGTCACGAGTTTGACAGCGTTCCTTTGAACGATCTCGGTGAAGCTTGGGGGTTATGCGATAATCACTGTGATTTTGTGTGAGCTCTGTGTCTTGCCTTACCAACAACAACCTAACATGATCTGCTATCAACGAACCTAAAACAAACATACCCCAAAATAACACACCCGGGACGGGTTGTCGGTTGAACTAGCGCTGAGTGTGTTACGTGCTTTGTGCGTGTGTAGTACGTCCTGAAGTTGCTTTGTCTGCGTCTTCGCCCGGCCTCCCCGCCCGCTCCGGTCAAGATGTGAGCGCACCGCACCACTCTCCACTGTCTCTCACAGGTGATAGAAGAGGCACAACTCTCAGTGAGAGAACGATGGGCTTGCCCATCCCGGAGTGGTTCGATACATAAATCCGAGACGGTGTGAGGGGAGGCGTCCCGGCGGTCTCAGGCCCAGTGAGGTAGTGCGCCAGACTCTGAGGGAGGGTGTAGAGGATGTAGAGTGTAGAGCGCTGTAGAGCTGTAGAGATGTAGAGCGCTCTGGAGAGCTGTAGAGCTGTAGAGCGCTCTGGAGCGCTGTAGAAGAGCGGCTGTAGAGCTCTACATCCGGCGCGTGACGATGTGAGTCGCCTGTAGAGCGATGTAGAGGCGCTCTACAACGTGAAATCTCTACAACAAACTCTACATCATAAGGGGCGAACGAGGCACGGTCGCTCTCCGACATGAGGCGCGTTGCACTTGCCAGTGCTGCCCTGGCCTTCTGTCTGCCCGCCCAATGGGTGGCAGGTGCCTCTGCTGCTGTGGTATGCCTCACGGCTGCGACTGGCCGGCGCCTCGGCGCGTCAGCTCGGCTTGGCGCAGCGATCGTGGCCAGCGCAACTCGCCTGGACTCAACGCTCAGCCAGGAGCTCCCGCACGCGCTGGCGCGAGTCACTGCTAAAGAAGCACAGCGACGAATGCGGCACCGGCGACGCATGGGAGGCTGGTCATGACGCTACAGCGCTCTATCTACACTCTCCCTCAGGCCAGACTATCCCGGATCCTGCTGAACAAGCTCCTCTTGTAGCTCGATCGGTCACACCGCCACCACCGCCGACGTCTCCTGGCGAGATGATGGAGAGAGAGGGGGGACGACACTGCTTCTTTCTGCAGCGACCAGCGTGCGTGCACCCACCTCGATCCTTTACCGTGTTTGTTATGACCCCCCCCAATGAACACACCAGTGAGGGAGGGCGAGACGATCGAGGGGTCCCGTACCACGCGGAATCGACCCTATCCAGTGCTCAAGTGCCGGCGGCCGAGTGCTCGCCCTGGACACACTCGATTCCTGCATCGGCCCTCCTCGGCGCTTTTTCGCGTAAAACGCCAAACCGCGACGTGCGCTCTCCGATGAATACCTCAGGACGGTCCTCGGCCTCAGCCGCGAGTTCCGGCTCCGCGGGTTCCGCCTCGTCTGGCTCGTCTGGCTCCTCATTCTCAAACACCGGCAACACTGCTGCGGAGAGGAGCGAGAGCTTCGAGGCAATGCGGCAGCACAAAGCCCAGTTCAGCAACTGCGTCGAGCAGCCCAGCGGATCAGGCAACTTCATCCTACCACTGCGCAAGAAGCTGCTATACGCGATGCCAGGCCTCGGGTACTACATGATCCGTTACCTGCGGACGACTCAGATGAAGAAATTCTATGCAGGCCACTGCGCAACACCCTCGAACACCGCAATTTCAGCCCCTCAGCCCCTCAGCCCCTCCGCAGATTGGCTCGGCGTACCTCTTTGGTGGATCGCCTTTGTCGTCGCGCTGGCGGTGTCTCTCGACGCGCTTACCGACCCGCTGATTGGTTACCTGAGCGACTCGAGTCGTTGCACGATACGCGGCAAGCCGATGCGGCGCAGGCCATTCATAGCAGTCGGATCGCTACTGCTCTGCTGCCTTTACCTACTGCTCTGGTCGCCGTGCCTGTTTTTTGGCAGCGAGTGCGGAGTCCGGACTCCGCACATCTGCGACTCCGCCGCCCCAATTTCTGGGCCGGCTCCTCACTACTTTCTGGTCCTCTACGTTCTCTACTTCTGCTCACTGGGTCTCACGCTCATCCCGTACGAGGCGCTTGGGGCTGAGCTCACTCCGGGCCATCGCGACAGGTCCAACCTCATGGCGACCTATTTTGCAGCGACTGTGATTGGCATTCTGTTGGCCATTGTTGCCCCTATGCTGGTGAACAAGGACTCAGGTGCCCATATTTGCACACCATCACTCAGCGTGCGGAGATGCTCACCCTTCCTGCCTTCCACCCGACAGACACAGGCCTGCTCGTATTTGCATCAATAGCGTGCGCAATCTTTGGAGGCGGCGCTTGGGGAGTCGCTTGCACCATGGAGGAAAGAGCGCCGGAGCACGGCAATCCGCCGCCCGTGCCATCGATGCTGAACTGCTTGCGCAATCCGGTGTTTCGCGCGCTGCTCTTGAACCGCCTGATCGAATCAGTCGGCATGGAAACGCAATTCACGGTGCGGGGACGGGAGTGTGGAGGACAGTAACCCTAATCCTAACCCTGACCCGGGAGGAGTTTAGGTCCTGCCATTCGTGGTGTCTTACGTGATTGATCCGGAATACGAGCGTGACGGCACCCCAGTTGTGGATGGTATGGATGAAGACACCGTGTTTACGCTCCTTGGTGGCGGCTTGCTGCTCTTCCAGCTGCTTTCGATCCCTCTGTGGCTCAAGCTTACCCATTGGAAGGGGAAGTACATGGCCTACCTCGTCTGGAACGTAGTCCAAGTCGTTAGTATCGCGTTGAAGATCTTTGTGACTCACCATTCAATAGTGGCGGGTGCCATCTTCGCTGTGCGCTCCACTGCCCTCCCGGCCTGGTCCACTGGCAACGCGTTCACGCAAGCGCCACGCAACTTGCTCAGGTGCTCTGGGGCATCGGCGGCGGGGGCTCTGAGTTCCTCATTCGAACGATCTTGGCCGACGTGTACGAGGTTACCGTCGGTCTACCTGTCTACCTCCACCAACTCTCGTCTCACGGCTCCCTCTACTTGTAGCACGACCAGCTGATCACGGGCGAGAGGCGCGAGGGCGAGTTTGGCGTCTACATTGACTTCTTCGGGGAGAAGCTGCCGCAGATCCCCGGTCAAGTAGTGCCTTTGATGCTCATGTCGTCCCTCGGCTATGTCGCCAACCAGCATCCGCAGCCGGCGTCCGTTGTGTGGCTGCTGAGGTCGCACCGTGGACGGCCTGGTTCCCTCGCTCCATCCACCCACGCTACAGACCTCCCGTGCGCCGCAGGCTATGCTTTTCGATCATCCCCGCCGCTACGGGACTGCTCGCCGTCCCCATTCTGCTATTTCTGTACCCAGCGGCCGCCAAGGATGATAAGAAATTCCTCGACGAGGTGCAAGCCGGCCTCGCGCGCCATCGAAAGGGCCTAGCCGCAGTCGACCCGGTGACGGGTAAAGTGTTGTTGCCGCCAGCGCAGCTCCAGGCCGCAGTTGACCCGCACGCTGTGCTCAAGGGAAAGAGTGGCAGCGTCGGCGTCGGTGGCGGCGACGGCGAGCAAGCGCGCATGCGAGGTCAGCGCGCGTGCGAGGCCTTCGACCACTTTGCTTTGTATGAGCTGCGTGCGGCGATCAACAGGGGCGAGAAGAAGGTGCTTGTCTTCATCACCGCGGTCCACACAGCATTGACATTCCTCGCAATCTGTGCGCTCGTGGTATGGGCAGCCTTTGACTGGAAGCTCAACATCACAGGCAGCATGGCTGCCGCTCCAGCCTGCAGCGCAACGTCGCAGCCCGGCGTGCTCGATTCGGGAGGCTGCAGTGCGGGTTTTTACGGCGTGGCATGCGCGCTCGCGTGCCCGGGACTCGAACTGGTGGGGACGGAACCTTCCGAGTATGCTGGGCTGCCGTGCAGTGGGTTTGGCTCGTGCGATGCTAGTGGCGTTGCCGAAGCTGGGCTGACCGCTATCTGCGAGTGCGACGAGGGCTACGCTGGGCCGGACTGCTCCGAACCAGCATCACCGGCGGAGGAGCCGCTCGCCTTCCTTCCGATCATCGTGGCCTTACTCGGGTTCTTCACCTTCCTCTTCTTCATATCGGTCTTGCGCCTGCGCGAGGCTGTCCGAATCCAAAGCGCCGGGCAGTTTGTGGTTGGGGGGCGAGACGTGACGCTTGAGGTGGCCGCTCCAACCTCCCCTCATTGCACTTCTCCTTTCCCTCTTCCGACTTCTCACGCTCGCCCTCGAAACCCCGCCCCACAGACCATCGCTGTGCGCGTCTCGCAGCTCACCGACGTGTCGCCCATCGAGACCAATATTCGCGCCTCGACCTACGAAGGGGAAGCGACTCGCGGCAGCGTGAGGTGGATTTGAACTGTTCGGAAAAGCGATGTGACGATGATACCTCAGCTCCGCGTATCTCCGAACCGATTTTCACACTTCCAAAATCGTATTCCGAAAAGTCACACTCTGAGGTTCTCTCTGTTGGACGGGTCAGGGGCGGTGGGGGCGAATCGTCGTGGGGAACACGAATCGCGTGGGGAACACATATCGGGGTTGTTCATGCAAAGCCAACCAGAGATGCATTGTGTGTTTTTGCGCGCGCTTCTCAGCGCTCTCGCTTAATCGCTTCTCCACGCGCGCGCTCTCAGAGAAGTGTGACGGCGTCAGTCTAGTAGGCGATCCACCCCTGAATGCACTCAAGCAGCGGCGCTGTCCTTCTTCTCAGCAACAGCAGCTTCGGGACGCTCGGTGTCGACTCGCAGCTTGCGGAAACGAGCGGCGGGGTCAGCTGTCGGCGAAACGTGCTTCTCGTGCGGCGACGTGACGCTGCGATGAGCGGCACGAGATGGTGCACCCGGAGCTGCCGGTGGGCGCCGTGCGGGCGGAGTAGTGCGCGGGGACGTGCGGGGGGTGGGGGTGGAGGAGTCGAAAGCCGAAGAGGGGGATTGTCGGCGCCGAGAGCCCGAGCCAAAAGATGTGGAGGGGTCCCAACCCTTCCCCTTTGAGGAGGGTGATCCCGCGGATCGTGGCCTTGCCTTCGAGGGCGAAGCAATTGCCGATCTCGAGGGGGAGTGATTCCACTCTCCACCACGCCACGACAAGGTCGACGAGGCGAACAGATCCGGCGAGCGCCTATAGGGCCGACGCTGGGTGAGCCGTGCCTTGACAAGCAGAGCAGGGGAGCAAACACGCTGCACGCATGCTCTCCGCGTACAGCAGCTGTCGGCCTCGCGCCGAGCCCGCCTTCAGCGCGGCCACGTTGAGAGCTTGCAGCCTCTCAATCTTGGCCTCGTAGTGGGCCGCGTCGGCGCTGCGGTCGTCGAGGCTTGCCTCTAGCTGCCGATTGAGCTCCTGGACGCTGCGCTGGTGCTCCGTGATGCTACGGTCGCGCTGGGCCTGGAGATCGCGCACCTCGTCCTCACGCATCCGCTGGAGATGAGCGACCTGCTCCTCGAACTCGATCTCGAGCGCACGCTTCTCGCGAGTCAGCCGTTCCACCTGCCCATGCAGCTCCAGCCGCGACCGCTCGGAATGCGCTCCCCGCTGGCAGGCGTCTTCGCGGAGCTGCTCGTTGCTCTCGCGGAGCTCGAGCAGCTCTGCTCGGTCTGCCGCATGCTCAGCCGCCGCCTGCTCGGCCGTCTCCTGCACCTTCGCCTCGAGGGCTGCAACTGCGCGCTTGGCTGCCTCGAGCTCGGAATGCATCGAGTCGTTCTCGCCCGTCAGCCGGGCGCGCTCCGCCTCGAGCCGCTGCTGAAGGGCGTGCTGGACGTCAGCGGCGCGCGCCACGTGCGTCTCGTGATCAGCCATCAGCGCCGAGATTGTGTTGTCGCTCTGCTCTGCCGCCGCGCTAAGCGCGATGTGCAGGCGCTCGCGCAGCTGAGACACATCTGCAGCGTGGGCCATCTCGGCAGCCCGGGCCTTGGCCTCGAGTTGCTCTGCAAAGCGCTGCATCCGGTGTAAAACGTGGCCGTTGGCCGAGAGGAAGCCGCGCGCCTTGTGCTGCGCCTCCGGGCCGTGTGGTGCAAAGGCGGAGTCGGCCGCAACAAGCGAGGCGGCAAGGGCACGCTGGCACTCGACGCGGGCGCGCGAGGAGTTGTGGATGGCGTCCTTGAGCACGACCCAGAAGTCGTTGTTGGCGGAGCCGTGGTCGTTGATCTTGTGCGGAAGCGCGGGCCGCGCGCGTGCCGCTACACTCCTCGCCATGGGGACGGTTTCGCGGACGCAAATCGTTTCGGTCAGTGCCGTGGGGGGGGGATAGGTGCAGGTTTGGTTAAGTATCTCTTGGAAATCAGCACACATAGCTCACATGATTTTCAGTGTATGTAGCTCTTACGAACATACCCGAGGGTGAACTGCTGACAGGGTTTGCGATGAGGAGCGATCCGAACGTGGTATTCGGGTGATCAGATCACTACCGCCGAAGCGCAAGCGCTTGGAGCAAGGGAACTGCCACGTATGGGTCCCAGACTAGCACCCCACCTCGCGAGCCGACGTTCTGGCTCAGCGAGGTTGCTGCGGAGCACTCGCGGACCGGTTCTTCTGGCCCAGCGAGGCCGCTGCGGGGCACCCGGCGGCTCGGTTCGCTCATCAGCGCAAACTCGGTCGTGCAGAAAGTAAGGTGTGTGTGTAAAGGCGGCGCGGCACGGCAAGGGTCGGCGGTAAGGCGGCGCGGCGGCAACAGACGGCAGGCCAGGGCATCGGACGGCGGGACAAACGGCACGGGGCGTGGCACTGTTGAGAGGATCGGCGGTACGGCGGCACGGCGGTAACGGACGGCAGGGGGGGGGGGGGGCTAAACGGCAAGGGCGGCGCGGCACAGAGGAAGGAGCGGCACGGCAGGGAGGAGCAAGGACGGCGCGGTAACATTTTCAGTGTCTGTAGCTCTTACTAACATGCCCGGAGATTTTTGCTTCGGTGCGCGGCCTGTGGGATAACATGTAAATTTGCCTGACAACATAACAAACAGATACATGTACACAAACAGAGAGTTTCAAACCCGGTGTCGAACCACCAGCCCGACGCTCACGGATCCAAAAATCGCTTCTCATCGCAAACCCTGAAAAAATAGTTAACCTCCGAGAAACCCATCGGGCCGCTTCTCATCGCAAACCCAGTCAGCAGAGTCCTCCTACGGGAACGAAAAAAGTAAGAAGACACGTGCGCCCAGAGCCGCGCAGGCTGTGGCTCAAGCCTTGCCACCCTTCCTTGCCGAACCCGAACGACGCTTGATAAATGCGCCGCGCGCTGCGGCGCACCTCATCTCGCTTGCACCGCAGCGGCGCGCGCCACTTTTCCGCCGCCGCGCCTGTCCTCGGCCAGGACCACCGGCTCGTTGTGGCCTCGCCGGCGCCGCCGCTGCAGCTTCCTGCGCCAGGCTCCCTCCCAAACTTTTCGGACTTCATCTGCTCGGGCTTCGCCAAGAATGGCGACAAGCCTGCTGTGGTTGTGGACAACCCGGAGGGGCCGGCGGACGTGAGGACCTTTGCGGACCTGCTCGCCGACGTGGGGAGCGTGGCGCACGAGCTGCGCTCCGTGCTCGGCTTCGGTCCGGGCGACAGGGCGCTGCTCATCTCGCCGAATCACGCGGACTACTTCACGGCCGTGCACGCCGTGCTGAAGCTGAACGGCGTGCTCTCGCCGGCAAACCCGCTCTACTCAGCGACTGAGATCGGGAGGCAGCTCGAGGACTGCGAGGCGACGGTAGTCATGGCGCACCCCTGCTGCCTGGAGAAGGCGCTCGAGGCTGTCCGCGCGTCGGGGCGGGCCGACGCCATCTCGGTCCTCGTCCTCGGAGCCGACGCGCCCGCCGGCGCGACACCGCTCGATGCGCTGAAGGGCACGGGCGCCGCGGCGCCTTTGCTCGGCGCGGTGGAGGACGACCAGCTGGCGGTGCTGCCGTACTCGAGCGGTACCACCGGGATGCCGAAAGGGACGATGCTCACGCACCGCAACCTCATCGCCAACGTCCTCCAGTTCGAGTTCGTGGACGGCCGCTTCTGGAGCCGGGGCGGCGAGACGCTCGTGAGCCCGCTGCCCTTCTTCCACATCTACGGCTTCACGGCGTCGCTCAACATATCGCTCTACTACGACTGCACGTGCGTGACGATGCCCGCCTTCGACCTCGAGCGCTTCCTCTCCCTCGTGCAGGAGCGGCGCTGCACCAGGGCTCCCTCTCGCCTGCCGCCTGCCGCAGAACAGTCACCGGGCCGCGGCCGCCGACGCGCCGTGGACGTGTCCCCTAGGCGCAGCTCGTGCCGCCGATCATCCTCGGCCTGGCGAAGCACCCGCTCGTCGACTCGTACGACCTGAGCTCACTCAAGACCATCGTATCGGGCGCCGCGCCGCTCGCGCGCGAGGTTGGCAACGAGTGCGCCGCGCGGCTCGGCGTGGCCGTCAAGCAGGCACGGGGTGTAGGGTGAGAACTGTGGTACGACCTCCAGGTGCGACCTCCGGTGGGTTATGATGATCCTGATGGAGCCTTGGCATTGTTGTTGCCGTGCGGGTGAGGATGTCACTCGGCGTGGTCGTCAAGCAGGCGTGGGGGATGAGCGAGCTCGCGCCGATCGGCAGCGTCAACCCAGACGGCGACAACCGGCCGGGCTCGAGCGGCGTCGCGGTCGCCTCGATGCTGTACAAGATCGTCGACCCCGAGAGCGGAGAGCTGCTGCCGCGCGGCGAGGAGGGCGAGGTGGTGTGCACGGGGCCAAACGTCATGGCGGGCTACCTCAACAACCCGGAGGCGAACGCGCACGCCTTTGACGCGGACGGCTGGTTCCGGACGGGCGACATCGGCTACGCCGACGAGGACGGCTACCTCTACTTCACGGACCGGCTCAAGGAGCTGATCAAGTACAAGGGCTTCCAGGTGCCGCCCGCCGAGCTCGAGGCGCTGCTGCTCTCGCACCCGCAAATCGTTGACTCGGCGGTGATCCCGGTGCCTTCCGACACGGCCGGCGAGGTGCCGCGCGCCTTCGTCACCCTCGCGCCAGGGGCGGACTTCGACGCCGACTCCATCGCCGCCTGGGTCGCCGAGCGGGTCGCGCCGCACAAGAAGCTCCGCGGCGGCGTCGTGCAGATGGTCGCCCCCGACGCCATCCCAAAGTCGGCGGCGGGCAAGATCCTAAGGAGAGTCCTCGTGCAGAGAAACAAGGCGGGCGAGTTCGACCCGCAGGAGTGATGACACGCATGTACTGTACACACACCGCACAGCTCAGGGGCGCACCCGCCTCATGGATGTCCGGCCGGGGGCGGTTGTGGGTTGATCTGTCCCACCACACAGCGCGTCTCGCGTAGTCCAAGTCGCGTCGGCTCTACAAGCGATAGAGACTGTGTGTGAAAAGCCCGTTTTTAGTATAAAACGCCGATTCGGCGCGCCCACGCCACGCGGGGGTCCTACACATGCACATGTACATGTTGCACATGCATACGGCTACGCGCGCTAGAGCCACCCGCGCGCCTCGCATCCCGCCTTCAGCCCCTCGTACAGCGCAAGCGTGATGCCGAACTGGGGCGCGGAGCGCAGCACACGCTCCGGCCCTCCCGCGAAGAGCCCCGCGACCCCGCCCTCGGACAGGACACGGCGGCCGGCGGCAAGCGGACCCACCCCGCCGCTCGCCAGGCCGCGCGTCGCCCCGTTCGCACCGACGACCGCCGCAGCGCCGTCTCTCAGCTCCGCCGGCTCCTCGCGCTCCTAACGGAAACGGCTTGCCATTGGTCCGCCTGTCTAGCTGCCTACCATCTCCAAGCCGCCTCTCGCCACGCACCTCCTGCAGCCGCGTCTTGACCACGTCTGCGGGCGTGGTGAGGTACGCAGCGGGCGCCGCGGCGAGCATGCCCGCCGTCAGCGAGAGCAGTGCGCCAGTCATGTGCATGTCGCCCTCCGCCAGCATCGTCCTCGCGCTGGCGTAGACGGGGAAGAGGATCGCGCTGAAGAGCGAGTCGCGAGCTGCGCACGCTGCAGCGCCGGTGTAGAGCACTAGCGGATTCGAGGCCGCCCCGAGCCGCTGCAGCACGCCAAGCGGGCTGTCCGGATTTGAGGAGAGCTGGAGCCGCACCTTCACGATCTCCAGCGGATTGGTGGCAACCACCTGGCACAGCCCCGCCAACGCGCCGGAGAGTGCCTCGCCGAGGAGCGGAGCACTCTGGTCGTGCACAAACAGCTTGATAGATTTCTCGGGTACGACGCCCGTAAGCTGAACGCCGAGGCCACTGTACAGAGAGAGCAAGCCCTCACTGCGTACCAGCGAGAGGGCGGCGCGGACTCCACTTCCACCGTAGCTTTTCTGCGCTGTCTCGCTCTGCAGCCGTGTTTTGATGCTGTCAAAGGGATACACGGCCAGGGCGCCAGCGGCGCCAGCGGCGCCAGCAGCGGCAAGATTGACCACTGTTGGAGGTGGTGCACAGATTGCAATCCCGAGGACGAGAGCGACGCTGAGCATCGTCTGTGACAGTGCGACAGCGACAGCACACGTCCCGGGTGCCTCCGGCTTTGACTGAACGCGCCCCGGCAGCGCCCAGCTCTCGGTCGGAAGATGCTTGTCGCGAGGTTCGCGGGGTGGATTTTCTTTGGCCGCGTTGGGTAGCGAGTATTGGTGTAACCCGAGCCACGGAGGCGTGTTTTCTGACGGCCGACCGTCAGTGCACGGAGTTGCCCCTTCTCCGACTGCCCCGGCTAGTTCCCGAGGTCGTCGGGTGTGACCCCTGCGGAAGAATTCTGCAACCCAAGTCCCTCTCACAGCAGACTGGCGCGGACTTGCACCACAAAAGGCACAGCAGACGGCTTGAAGAAGGTCGGCTTGAAGAATTTGAATTCCGGCTTCTCGTCGATTCTCGTCCTGCCATCCCTGTCCTCCTCCCCCATCCTCCCTCGTTTGGGTTGTCTGTTTTGTTCCTTCCTTCCTTTTTCCCTCTCTTGGGTTGGGTGGTCTCATTCTTTCTTTCTTTTTCCATTTCTGCATCTGATTGATTATTTTCTTTTCTTTCTCTGACTCTTCGAGATTTAGGTATGGGGGAGAACGTCATCTCACACAGGCCGGCGACCTCCCTCCCTTGCGTTGATTATTTTCTTTTCTTTCTCTCTCTCTTCGAGAGGGAGGTATTATGTGGGAGAACGTCATCCACACCGGGCCGGCGACCCCACAGCGCACCGTGCACGCTACCGAGAGGCACAGCCACACTTAAGGCTGATTGGCTAGACGAGCGGCCTACCTCCAACGGGGAAGTCTGACGAACGGGGGAGCTCTGATCGCCGTACTCACCGGGACGCTGGTGAGGTGACGGTGGGAGGGCGCCCCCCAGACAGCCCCTCCCGACGGGGACGCCACCACCCTCGCCCAGGGATCTACAATGCTGTCTTAAGGTCCGACCCGACAGGTTCGGCACCGGGCAGACGCACTAATCCTCCCCCCCGGTTTTCTCGCTCAGGTTTTCCCCTCAAGTTAGCGGAGTTAGCTGCTAGATTTTGCTTGATCAAAAGCGGCGTGAGATCTGGATTTCTCTCCTGGTCCTTCAGCAGAGAACGTTTGGCTCGCACGACGCACGCGCAGCGCGCACGTTTGCCGCCGCCATGCTGGCGCTCCTGAGGCTCGCGATGCCGGATTTTTTCGGTGCGCCTCCCTCCCCCCCCCCCCAAACACGGGCGCACGTTGGAGCGGCCTCTCCGAGCGGGAACAGCCAGTAGCCTACTGGCGCCTCCCAGTGTCAACTCCCCTCCCCTTGCTCTGCTCTGCAGGGGCATGGCGGCGCCCAGACCCGGGTATTTCCCCCCGGGCGCATTCGGATCACCCGGGCTCCCTCCCCGGTCGCCGGTGCTGGCGACGCCCCTTCAACCGCAGCAGCAGAGCGCGCGCAAGCGCACGCACCCGTCGGCCGAGCCTACGCCTATTGTGCTGCACACCGTGGAGCGCGGGTCGCTGCACGCTACGGCGCACGTCCCGACACGCGCTCCGCTCGGCTCTCTGCCCGCCACCTTCCAGCGGTATACCGCGACCGTCAAGTTCGAGAGCGGCCAGTACATCGCCGTCGATGGCGTTCGGCCGACCAACTGGCAGGCATGCCCAACACAGCCGGCGGCGGCTGCGGCGGCGGGCGAGACCAAGAAGCTGAGCTTCTCGCTCGACCCGGAGGAGATCGCGCACGCCCACGCGTACGCTGAGCGCTTCGGGATCCACGGGCGGCCGGTGCGCCCGAAGGCAGGTGCCGGCGCCAGCCCCGCCGCCGCTCGCGTGGAGGAGAGGCCGCTCAACAACCTGGTCCTCGCGAAGCTGGGCTACGGCGGGCACATGATGTACACGGGCGACGTCCTCTTACTCGTGCAGCACTACGAGCGCATCATCTCGGCGCTGTCCACTGAGCTCGCCGCCGCCAAGTCGATGATAAACGTGATGTCGGGCGTCATGCGGCGCGACGGCGCCCGCGGCCCTGGCGTCGGCGCGTACAGCCAGCTCTCCGCGTCGAGACAGCGGGCCGTGCGCGCAAAGTGCCGGCCGCACTTTCTCAAGGAGATTGAGTACGCCGGCGGCACTAGGAGGGAGAACACGTTCCTCCTCCGCGACATCCTCTCGAGCTGCGTTTGCCCGAAGCAGGGCCAGCTGATCGAGCACCGCACCTACACGTCCGACGCCATCACGATCCTCGCGACGGACCCGGGGCTCAAGAAGGCGCTGATGGCGTATAGCTGCCGGGAGCGTAAGCCGACCCCGACCCAGTGGGTGCGGATGAGCGCGATTGGCGGCGTGACGCAGCGCGGGGTGGACATCCTCCGGCCGGTACTCGGCCAGGGCGTGGGGTGCGGCCACTCGACGCAGACGGCGGCTAAGGCCGACCAGCTTCTCCACATCAAGGGCACGCTGCTGCTGTGCGCCTGTACGTCCGTGCAGCTCTCCGACGCGCCGCTGGACGAGCAGCGCGAGGCGCAGGTCGAGGAGTTCAGGAGGCGCAAGGCCGAGCTCGCAGAGGAGAAGGCGGAGTTGCTGCAGGGCCTCAAGGACGGCACCTTTCAGCCGCCGCAGGAGTCGGGCGACGAGGCCGCGCCCGTCGAGGCGAACTCGGACGACGAGGACGACGACGACGACGCGGACACTCGTCGTCAGGAGATCCCCCACGAGGTGGACGACGAGGCGGACCAGGGGGAGGGCTACGGCGTAAAGGCGATGGTCGATACGCTGCAGACCCTCACCATTGTGCGCCTGCGCAACGAGGTCATCCTCCCCGGCTCGCTGCAGCAGGGGATCGGGGTCAAGTACTCGTACGACGCCGCCACCCACAACGGCAAATCCTGGACCACCAGTTTCACCGAGTTGAAATGCGTGGGCGTGACTGAGCGCGAGTGGGGCAGGGCGGCGGTCGACTTTGTCCTGCCGTCGGCCTGCTTTGAGGGCAAGGACAACGCGGGCAACCTCGGCCGGCACTTCAAGCCGCAGGTGCAGCAGGCGCTCGACCTCTCGGGCAAGGAGCAGGAGATGGACTTCGTCTCAAACCTGCCGCCCGACCTGATCCGCCGCGCTGCGTCAGGCCGCGTCACCATGAACCGGCTCCCCCTGGCGAGCAAGGGCGTCGGCGGGACCGACTTCCGAGGCAAGAAACTGCGGCCGCAGGAGGGTGACGCCGACCTGCCACTGCGCGAGGTCCTCGTCGAGAAGGGGAAGCTCACGTTCCAGTTCCTCTTCCCGATGGACGGCGCGAGCGCGCTTGCGACGGCGGGCGTCGGCATCGGCGAGGAGTGCAACAATATCCTCAACCTCATCCCCAGGGGCAACGGCTACCGCCTCCTGGCGCTGCGCAAGGTCCCCTCCGGCATGACGCCGCGCGAGTTTGCTGCGCTGCAACGCCCCGGCGACCCCGCCTTCCTCGGCCAGCTCGCCTTTGCGCAGCAGCACCACCGGCAGCCCGAGCTGCAGACGATGCTGCTCCAACCGCCCGTCGTCGCGACCATGTCCACGACGGGGCACGAGGCGACGTTTGGGTGCAGCCGTCCACCGTCTACGCCGACCCGCTCGTGCAGCGGATCTACAACGAGGACTCGTTCCAGCCGGCGGTGGACGGCGCGCGGTACGACCCGGCCAACGCGATCGGCACCGACTCATTCGCGGACCACCGCTTCGTCGAGGAGACGCTGCTGCGCGTGCCTATCGAGCGCGACTTCAATTCGCGACCCCTCGGCCCGAAGGCCTTGGTGCAGCACCCCGAGCTCCTCCCGAGGATGGTGTTCTGCGTCTTGCATGGCGCCGTGATGCGGATGCCCGAGTCGGAGATCGGTGCGATCGACAAGCCCGTGCGCGACATTATGGAGGCGGAGGGGGGCTTCGGCGCCGACAAGAAGAGGGCGGTGGAGACGGCGAACTCGACGCTCAGGACCTTGCTCGGCGCCAAGTGGAAGTACGCGCTCACCGTGGACAGCAAGACGAAGAAGGCCAGGACGCCCGAGCTGAGCGGCCAGGCAGGGCGCGCGCTCATGTGGGACATCCTCAAGGAGAAGGCGGACGTGGGGCGGACGGGCAACTTCCGCTCGCACTTCTTCCAGAACCGCGCCAAGCTGTTCGACGAGCTCGGGCTCACCGCGAACCGCGCGCAGCTGCCGCAGCAGGCAGAGTGCCTCCGGCACTGGGCCAAGGCGGCAGAGGTGGGGATCAAGATGAAGCCGACGGCCAAGGACCGCGAGACCTTCTCGCAGGAGCTGGGCTGGTACACGCTCAAGTCGGCGGCGCTCTTCCCCTACCACTTCACCTGGTGCGCGAGCGGGGGGGGGGGGGGGGATCCATTCAAAACACCCTCACAAAAACC